GGGGGTTCCCTTGTAACTCACTCTGCTTTTCTCTTACTGCCTTTAGGATCATTTCTTTATCCTTGACTCTGGCCATCTTGATTATGATATGTCTTTGTGTGGGTCTATTTGGGTTCTTCCTGTTTGGGACCCTCTGAGCTTTCTGTACTTGGATATCTGATTCCTTCTTTAATTTGGGAAGTTTTCAGTCATGATTTTTTCCAGTACCTTTCCAATCCCCTTTGTTTTTTCTTTCCCTTCTGGGTCCTCTATTATGCGAAGATTGACATTCTTTTTATTATCCCATAGCTCCCTTATGCTGTTTTCATTTGTTTTTATTTGTTTATCTTGTAGCTGTTCTGATTGGGTGCTTTGTGTTGTCCTTTCTTCTAGGTCATCAATTCATTCCTCTACATTATCTAGTCTGCTTTGCACAGCCTTTAGATCATTTCTCTTCTCAGCCAATGAGTTTAGCAGTTCTACTTGGCTCTTCTTTATAGCTTCAATTTCATTTTTGACATATTTTATATCTCTAAACCCTATCTATTTTAGTTCCTTCAGTACTTTGATCACTCCTTTTTTGAAATCTTCATCTAGTAGGCTATTGATGTCTATTTCATTGATTGTTCTTTCAGGGGATTTCTCATGTTCGTTTAATTGGGAATGGTTTCTCTGCTTCTTCCTCTTGATCATACCTCTCTGGGACTGTGATTTATGTAGTATCAGTTATCTATTTTAGTCCTTATGGAGTTTATTTATTTATCTATCTAATGCCTATGTAGAAATAACACTTAAAAGAAAGAGAGAGAGGGGAAGATAGTTTTAAAAGAAGGGAGAAAAAAGGTTTGAAAACAGTGTATAATGAATGATAGAATAGCAAGTTGAAGCAGAATAGCAGTCAGATTGAGATGTCTTTTAAAAACTGGATTTTTGGCATCTCTGTCTTTTGAAGAGGACGATGTTCTGTCAGAGTTCTGCAGGTGCTCTGGTTGGCTGAGTGGGTCTGTAGATGTGAGTCTTGGTGTATTTGTGGGAGAGGGTGAGCTACAAGCGTCCTTCTACTCCAGCATCTTGGCCTCTTCTCCTCCCAAATTATTTCTGTTTGAAGTTGGCATTGTCTTATGTATAGAAAATCATAATGACTCCTGGAAAAAAAGCTCATACATATAATAAATGAATTCAGTAAAGTTGCACAATACAAAATCAACAGACAACAGTAAGTTGTGTTTCTATACACTAACAACAAACTATCTGAAAAAGAAATTAAACAAACAGTCCCATATACACTTGCATCAAAAAGAATACCATACGTAGAATTCAGCTTAACCAAAAATGTAAAAGACTGGTAATCTGAAAACTACAAAATATTGCTGAAAGAAATTAAAGACCCGAATAAATAGAAAGACATTCTGCCCTAATGGACTGGAAGAAAATATTGATAAAGTGTCCATTCAACTAAAAGACATCTACAGATTCAATGCAATCCTGTCAAAACTCCAATGGTATTTTTTACAGAAACAAAGAAATATCCCAAAATTCATGTGGAAGCACAAAAGACCCATAATAGCTAAAGCAATCTTGAGAGAGAAGAACAAAGCTGGAGGCATCAGAATTCCTGATTCAAAATATAGCACATTCAAAATATATCAATATCTTGTAATAACCTTTAATGAAAGAGAATATGAAAATGAATATATGTATATATATATATGCATAACTGGGATAATTATATTGTACACTGGAAATGGACACATTGTAACATTATACTTCATATATATATATATATATATATGTATATATAAAACAAAGCTACAGTAGTTAAAACAGTATGGTGCTGGCATAAAGACAGACATAAAGACCAATGAAAAAGGACAGGGAGCTCAAAAATAAACCTACACTTGTTTAGTCAACATATCTTCAACAAAGGTGCCAAGAATCCACAATTGGTGAAGGTTGTTTTTTCAATGAATGGTATTGTGAAAACTGGATATCCACATGCAAGAGAATGAAACTGTCTTATACCATACATAAAATCAATGCAAAGTGGACTGTGACTTAAACATATGACTTGAGAGTATAAACGTCCTAGAAGAAAATATAGGGAAAACACTTCTTGACATTGGTCTTGGCAATGATTTCTTGAATATGACGCCAAAAGCATAGACAGCAAACAAAAGCAGACAAGTGGGACTACATCAAACAAAGGCTTCTGCACAGCAAGGAAGACAAACAGCAGAACAAAAAGGCAACCTATTAAATAGGAGAAAATATTTGCAAAGTATATGTCTGATAATGGATTAATTTTCAAAATATATGAGGAACCCCTACAACTCAATAGCCAAAAACCAAATAATTTGATTAAAAAATTGGCAAAGGACTTATACAGACATTTTGGTTATTTCATTAGTTACTTTTTGCTATTTGATTTTTTTCTCCTTCTGAAATTTTTCTTAAATCTTTGTATATTTTTCTCTTGTATTCTCTTATCTTGTGACTCATTTTCCTTTTTTTGTGTGTTTTTCACTTTGGTTGTAAACTGTTTCTCCACTTGACACCATATTTTGTTCAACCATTCTCCATTTAACAGCTTCTTAACTCATGTTCTCACTTTTTTCCCCTCTATACATTGAAATGCATTTTTGTAGCTAAATCTTTGTCCGTGTTTCTAACTACTTTCTTTGTTTTTGCTTTTAAAGACTTGATACACCTTGCCAAAAAATACTCTTCTAAAAGAGTCGTACTAATTTTTATGTTTAAGAAAGGTCTATGTTTTTCATAACAAAATCATGTATTTTTATGTTATAGGCTTTGAAATTTCTGAAAACCAGAAGAGGCAGGCTGCAATGACTGTGAGAAAAGTCCCTAAACAAAAAGGTAAAGCTGCCTTTAACTACCATCTCCCTGACCACACTCACTTTCGCTGTGAAACTGAGAAGTCATTAGCTATGCACCTATATGTTCCTAGGCAGGTTTCCATGCTGAAGTTCACTTGGGGTGGTGGGAAAGATCCAGATTCCCAGGTGTCTCTGATGACAGGTGGCAAGTGGTCTTAAAGCCTATGGCTCAGGAGTGAACAGTTTAAGGTAGTTGTGTTCAAAGGTAGCTCATTGGGTAAAGGAGAAAATAGAACCTGTTTCTTTTTATTTTCACCTGAAAAAAAGAGAGAAACTAAACCTTTCTAACAATTTAGAAACAATTGTACAATAGTAAATGTGTATAATTTATTAATAAGTATAAATATGTTAGGAATATGTACATAACCTTCTCTCGTTGGTTTTGGAGCATTTGCCAAATCAGGAATCCCAAATCAGAATGGAGAATTTTAAACTGCACCAAGACTGATGATTCGGATATTCCTTCTCTTTCTGAACCATAAACTAAAGTACTTAAAAGAGAAAAATACCTTAAGAATCAGTTTGAATATGAAATGAAGCTTTATTTTCTTGTTTTCATGAACTAGACAAAATTAAAATACTTAATTGAATGAAGGGAAGGAACTACCCTCTGTTTATTGAAGAGTCCATTCATTACCAGTCATTTTATATGAGTTCTTTGATCTTTATGCAAAGGTAGGTATTATTAGCCCTATTTCCAGAGGACAGAACTGAGAGTCTTTGGTGTGAAGAGACTCTGAACTTGAGTCAGCTGGACTCCAAGTCCACTGCTGTCTTCTCTCCATCTTAGGGTTCTGCTGATTCTCCAGGCTGGGGAAGAACAGCTCACTTTTTTGTCTAGCCTCAATTACTGACAGCTACTTCTATTACTGACAGCCATAATCACTGTCCTCAGCGGTAGGCAATCTTCATAAGACTTCACTTTCCCTGGGCCCTTCCTTATGCTTTCTTAAAGGGCTCTCTGTTTCAAAATGAGTCACCATATAAAATGATCAGATTCAAGTTGCCTGAAATTCCAGCAGCCACAATAAAGTACCTTTATTTATTCTCAATGAAGTTTATTTTCATTGAGGAGGTTGAGTACCTGTGAATACCTGATTTCCAATTGAGTAGTGCACCTAGATTTGGCTTCTGGCTAGACATGGCCTTCCTTTTAACTGTTTATTGCTTCTTACTCTTGGGAGGCCCTCATTGGCACTTTACCTCATCATGGAAATGTGATTCTCCTTAGATAGGGAATTAAAGGCAACCACTCCTAATCTCTTGGGGGTTGAAACATGAGTGACAGTATTAGAAAGTAATCTGGAGTTAATAACAGTAAGGATATGATCTGTATGAATAGGAGAATCTTTTGAGACATTGTGCTGCTTAGATATATGAGCCCTAGCCACCTAGAGGGTTCTCAGGCTACAAAGAGACTACTGTCTTAGTGCCCCACCTCTGTCTCCTGGAGGCTCTCACCTCCTGAGCTTCTCTCACTGTGATTCCTTCCTCTGTCTCTATCACACTGACCTTATTGATGAGATGGTGCTCCATTACCTCAGCCTAAGTTCCCTCAAGCCTATCTGAGACTGGTCTTTTCACTGAGAAACCTTAAAGCAGAGGAACATGTACAAAGCAACCAACTAGAAAACAGTCCTACTAATTCATATCAAGCCTTTGTGTCAGGTTCCTTCTCTACCTTGTCTAGTCTCAAGGCTATCCTTTGCAGGTTCTCTTTTCTCTTCAGGTATCTAAGCAATGGTTCACCTGAACAGATTTCCACTTTTAATAGCAATCCTGAAGTATTCAAAGAAGCCTATCTAGTTTCTAACCTCTTAGAATTCCTCAACATTTCCTCCCTTATTTCCTCATCCAGGGATGTCATGACTGATATATTTTAAGACTCAAGGGCACTATACATGTAGAAGTGGTTGTCCAACTTAGCAGTTCAATAGCTTTATCATATACATGGGAAGAGCAAGAAGGGAGTTATCTCAGATACCTGGGAAAGTCAGCTTTCTTAATCCTTCCAATGACCCATTCCTGGAAGTGATGGGGAGCATTGTTGCTATGGTTTTTCTGATTCAGATTTAATATAGATTCCAACGCAATCAATGATGCCATGGGACCTTATCAACTCAATCAACTGTTCTGGAGGAGGGGAAGTCTGGCTGGAAGAAAAGCAGAGTACAGAGCCTCACTCCAAAGAAGACCTTTTCACTTTACATTTGCCTTTCACACTGCCTGGGTTTTAATAATTGCTTTGTAACTTCTTGGGAAATGGATGCTAATTCCTCCTTCAGCCCATTTCAGTTTGTCATCATGGAGCTCCCTAGGGCCATGAGCACAGCTCCCATCTCGAGAGGCTTTAGGGCCAGCTCAAAATCAAATGAGTACCCTAGAATAACTAAAATAATCTTGAAATAGAATAAAGTTTGAGTAATCAGTCTACCCTGATTTCAACACTAATTGTATAGCTACAGTAACCAAGACAGTTGGTGTTGGTAGAAGGCTAGACATATTTTTTATATCAATGGAACAGAACCCAAAAAAAGACCTACACAAATATGTCCAACTGATTTTTGACAAAGGTACAAAAGCAATTTAGTACAGGAAGGATAGCCTTTTCAACAAATGACACTGAAGCAATTGGGCTTCCTTAAGCCAAAAGTAAAATGAATTTCAACCTAAGTTCACACCCTATAAAAATTAAAATAGATAATGGACTTACATTTAAAGCTACAAAACTTTTAGAAAACAGTAGGAGAAAATCTTCAGGATTTAGGGCTAAGCAAAGTTCTTAGACCTGACACCAAAAATTTGAACTATAAAATAAAACATTGACAAAATAGACCTTATCAAAATAGAAAATTTTACCCTGTGAAAGACCATGTGAAGAGGATGAAAAGACAAGCTACAACTTAGGGGAAATATTTGCAAACCATGTATCTTATAAAACATTAGTATCTAGAATATATAAAAAACTCTCAAAACTTACCAGTTAAAAAAAAAAACTACACACTTCAATTAGAAAATGGGCCAAAAACAAACATATTTCACTTAAAAGGATATATAGATATCAGTTAAACGCATGAGAAGATATCCAACATCATTAATCACTAAATAAATGCAAATTAAAACCACAGTGAGATATCACTACATACCTATTACAAAGGCTAAAATAAAAAAATAGTAACAACACCAAATGTTTACAAGGCTGCATAGAAGCTGAATCATTCATACCTTGCTGATGAGAATGTAAAATGGTGCAGGCACTCTGGAAAATAGTTTGGCAGTTTCCTAAGACATAAATCATACAACTACCAGATGATTCAGCAATTACACACCTAAGTATTTATTCCAAACAAATGAAAACTTTTTTTCAGTTAAAAAACTTATAAACAAATGCTCATAAGAGCTTTGTTCATAATAGCCCAAACTGGAAACAACCGAGGTATCTTTCAGTGGGTGAGTAATTAAGCAAACTGTGGTAAATCCATACCATGGAATATTACTCATCAATAAAAAGGAGCCAACTATTGGTACATGCAACAACTTGGGTGAATCTCTGAGGAATTTTGCCGATTGCAAAAAGCCAAAACCTGAGGTTACATATGATATGACTCCATTTATATGATGTTCTTCAAATGCTATAATTTAGAAATGAGGAACAGATTAGTGGTTGCCAGGAGTTGAGGCATTGAGGACAAGAAAGAAATGAGTGTGGTTATAAAAGAGTAACAGGAGTAATCCCTGTGATGATAGAAATGTTGTCTCCTGACTGTGTCCTGTAACAATATTAATATCCTAGCTGTGCTACTGTACTATAGTTTTTCAAAATGCTATCATTGGAAAAATTGAGTCATATGTACAAAGCATATCTCTGCATTTTCTCTTAAAATTGCATGTGAGTCTACAATGATCTCAAAATAAAAGGGTTAATTAAAAAATTAAAACGAGCACTTCCCAAACTCCCTCCCTAATATCTCCATATCATTTGTTGGCATCTAGTCCCCTCATATTTTTGACACTTATCACCTTTGAAAACTGACTGTTAGACGACATTGTCAAAACGGCAGAATAGTTTACTGTTGTCCTCTCACTAAAGAACACAGATTTTGGCAATCAGCAACAGATGAGAGTGCTTTTATGAAGTCTTAGAGTCCAGTGGAGAAGTTACAGACTGAATAAATTGACTGGACACATAGAAGAGCCCAGTCAATAAAGACTGGAGGAGATGACTCCTCCTTTAAATGCAAAGACAGCAACACAAGACCAGAAGGAACATGAAAAATCAAGGAAACATGACATCGTCAAATGAATGCAATAATTTCCAGAAACTGATCCACAAAGACATGCAGATCTGTGATTTGACTGATAAACAATTCAAAATGGTTGTTTTAAGGAAGTTCAGTGAGCTACAAGAGAGACAATTCAACAAAATCTAGAAAATAAATATAAACAAAATAAGAAATTTAACAGAGAGTAGAAATCATGAAAAGAGCCAAATTAAAGAGCTGAAGAATACAATGAATGAAATGAAAAGTGCAGTAGAGAGCATCAGTAGCAGACTTGATCAAACAGAATACTCTAGCTGTGGAGTCAAAGAAAAGGCATTTAAAATTGGCTAGTCAAAGTAGAAAAAAAGAAAAGAGTAATGCGAAAGAGTGAAGTATACCTATGTGAATTATGAGATACAATTAAGAGACAGAATCTAGAAAATATTGGAGTCCCAGGAGGAGAAGAGAGGGGAAAGGGGGCAGAAAGCTTATTTAAATAAATAATGGCTAGAGCTTCCCAATTCTGGGTAGATATTTGGATATCCAAGTTCATGAGGCTCATTGATCTCCTGGACAATTCAACCAAAAATGATCTTCTCTAATTATAATGATCTTCTCACATTAAAATAAAACTGTCTAAAATTAAAGACAAAGAACATTAAAAGCAGCAAGAGGAAAAAAGTCCTTATATGCAAAGGAACCCGCGTAAAGCTATCAT